GATTATACCCTAAAACATGCTGCCAAGAGGATTTTCTGTCTTTAAAACTCCAAAAATATTTTATATGAATATTTTAAAAATCACCGAAAACATCAAATCAAATTTTATTTATATAGCCCACATTTACAAAATACAGTTTGTCACATGGGGCTTCACAGGGTTGGTAACATCCTCTGTCCTTAGATCGTCAGCCAGGGTAAGGAAAAACTACCGAAAGAGAAACCCTTTCAACAGGGAGAAAAGAGAAAGGTAGAAACCTTAGGGAGAACCACAGGTGACGGATCCACTCCCTGGACGGACAGACGTGCAATAGATGTTATCAGAACATACATTGTACAAATACATAAAAACCAATGAAGAAAAAAAAAAGTTCAAGTTCCGGTTGTGGATCCAGTAGTTGTCGCAGTAGTGGTAGTGGCAGTAGTCCTGTGCTCCTCCTGTTCACCGGTGGCAGCAGAACTGTAAAAGAGTGGGACCAGTTTCCTAAGTGTATACATGGTGGTCGGTATGAATATAGGACAGGACAGAAGAATAAAGTAAGACCGTAGAGTCTGTGTCCTCATTATAAGTGCAAGATGCATGCCAACAACAAAAAATAAAAAGTGCCAGAAATGAAAATTTGTGCCAGAAAATTTTGATAAATAATTTTACAATAAGTTTTCGTCAAAAACTGACATTTTGACAAAAAGTTTTAAACAGAAAATTTTGTAAAAATGTTCTCTACGTGCACTAATTTTATGAGAAATATGCAGGCAGAGATACAATTTTGAAAAATAAATTTATAAAATTTTTCTTCAAAATTTCTTAGTTTTTGACCAAAAATGACATAAAAAACTGATATTTGGACAAAAACTTTTAAACAGAAAAAGTTCTAAAAACGTTTTACAATTTTACAAACATTTTCATCAAAATGTCTTAGTTTTTGACCAGAAATGACATGATAAACTGACATTTTGACAAAAGTTTTAAACAGAAAATTTTGTAAAAATGTTCTCTACGTGCACTAATTTTATGAGAAATATGCAGGCAGAGATACAATTTTGAAAAATAATTTCACAAACATTTTTCATCAAAATTTCTTAGTTTTTGACTAAAAATGACATAAAAAACTGACATTTGGACAAAAAGTTTTAAACAGAAAAATTTGTAAAAAATTTCTCTACATGCCCTAATTTTATGAGAAACATGCAGGCAGGGATACAATTTTGAAAAATAATTTCACAAACATTTTTCATCAAAATTTCTTAGTTTTTGACTAAAAATGACATAAAAAACTGACATTTGGACAAACGTTTCTTCAAAATGTCTTAGTTTTTTACTAAAAATGACATACAACACTGACATTTGGACAAAAACTTTTAAACAGAAACATTTGTAAAAATGTTCTTTACCTGCCTGCACACATTTTACGAGTAACATGCAGGCAAAGATACAATTTTAAAAAATAATTTTACAAACGTTTCTTCAAAATGTCTTAGTTTTTTACTAAAAATGACATAAAAAACTGACATTTGGACAAAAACTTTTAAACAGAAAAAGTTCTAAAAACGTTTTACAATTTTACAAACATTTTCATCAAAATGTCTTGGGTTTTGACCAAAAATGACATGAAGAACTGACATTTTGACAAAACGTTTTAAACAGAAAAATTTCTAAAATTGTTCTCTATGTGCAGTAATTTTATGAGAAACTTGCAGAAAAAGATAACATTTTTAAAAATAATGTTTCAAAAAAATTTCATCAAAATTGTTTAGTTTTTGAGCAAAAATGACCAGAAAAATTTACATTTTGACAGAAAACTTTATACATAAATATTTCTAAAAATGTTTTCCAAATGTTCTAATTTTATGAGAAACAAAAGGTAACATTTTGAAAAATAATTTTACAAACATTTTCTTCAACATTTCTTAGTTTTTGACTTAGTTTTTAACTAAGTCAAAACTGACATTTTGACAATAAGTTTTAAACAGAAAAAATTGTAAAAAATGTCTCTACATGCCGTGATTTTATGAACCATGCAAGTAAAGATAGAATTTTGAAAAATAATTTTACAAAAGGTTTTCGTCAAAATTTCTTAGTTTTTGACCATGAATGTCATGATAAACTGACATTCTGACAATAAGTTTTAAACAGAAACATTTCTAAAAATGTTCTCTACGTGCAAAAATGTTATGAGAAATTTTACAAAATGTTTTCGTTAGAATTTCTTAGTTTTTGACCAAAAGTGACACAAAAAGTTCACATTTTGACAGAAAATTTTATAGAAAGAAAAATTTTCAAAAAATGTTCTCTCCATGTCCTAATTTAATGAGAAACATGCAGGAAAAGAGAACATTTTGAAAAATTATTTTTGTCAATTTTATTTTAGTTTTGAACCAAAAATGACTTTATTATTTTTCACCATCTGACCACGACAATCAAAATTTGGTTTTATTTTACTGAAAAAATTGCCCAAAAGAATTTTTCTTTAAAATTTCTCAAAATGCTGAAATTTGTTGGGTAAGGATGTAGAAAAGCTAAAATTTTGAAAAAAAAATCTTTTCATCACAATTTTTCACCGTTTGACAAAACAAAGATAAATTAGGATTTTGCCACAAAGAAATCTAAATTATTTTCAAAACATTCTCTAAACACTCTAATTTGATGAGAAACATGCAGAGAAGATAACATTTTAATAAAATTACAATTTTTCACCATCTGACCAAGAGTGCCATGCTGTTAATGAATTTCGCCAAAAAAATCTGAAAAAAAAAAAATTTCCAAAAAATTTCTCATAACACTAATTAAGAAACAAGCAGAAAAGATAAAATTCTGAGGAAAAAGCCAAAATAGTAATTATAATTTTTCACCATCTGACCCATGACATGCAAAATTAAGATTTTGCCAAAAAATTTCCAAATATTTTCTTCCCGAAAAAAATTTCAAAATACTGTAATTTGATAAGAAACATGTAGAAAAGATACAATTTTGAAAAGTAGTAGTTTTTTTTCCCCTTAGATTTTCGTCATAATTTTTCACCATCAGATCAAGTCACATCGTAAATTAGTATTTCACCAAAAAAATCTGAAAAACATTCAAATCTGATAAGAAACATGGAGAAAAAATAAAATTTTGAAAAGAAATTTCACCATGACAAAATTGATTGTCAAGTAATTTTTTTTATTTAATTAATCTAAACATCCTCAATTTGTATACTTCTTTTTGAGATTTTTTTGTATATTAATTAGATCTATTTTCTTTAACCGATGTTTAATGCATATTTTTTTATTTTTAGTTTTCCTTCATTTATCCTCTATTATTTAATACTTCTCAGGGTAAGGCAGGCTTAGGCAAACTAAGCCCCCGGGGCCGGATGCGGCCCATTCAGCTTTGCAATCCGGCCACCCAAACATGTCCAAATTATATAATTGGTTTGTATTGTGATTACGCTTCTGCCTTTTCCCTGCCATGCCCAAGTTTTCCCTATAGATGGCGTAAAGAAAGCTAAAAACATATTAGCATTTTATTCTTTATGTATGACTTTTACATGTCATTTATCTTGGTTCACACAAATGTGCCATGTTATTAAATGTAACCGTTCTTACAGTGAGTGGGCCTGTTACCTGCACAACGTCCAAATCCCAGTTGTCTGGAGGAACTGGCCCACTTCTGTCAGACGATTCTTTGTCGGTAGAGAACCTTCCTTTCCTTCCAGTACCAGGATGTGGAACTGAGGTTCTTCTGACGGCTCATCAGGGACAAACGTGGCAGGTTGAACGCCGTTGCTTCTATAGAACACAAAACTGAAGTGACAAGCTCTGAAGAACAGGATGAAAGAACTGTTCTCCAGACACGTTTCACAGATAAAACTTTTTATTAGAAATTTCCATCAACGTAGAAGAATGGAGCGTTCACATTCATTGGTATCCTAGCATTAGAAGGAAAATGTAACAATGTGGTTCAGAACCAGTCAACGAAAGACAGATCTTTATAAACAGAACGTAGACGTAGAGACCCCGGAATATCTGCAGATAATTAAAAAAAAAACAAGATTTGACTTTTGTACATTCAAATATATACTGCATACTGCATATTACAACCCTGTGTAAAGATGAGTCCAAATGTTACACTAAAAAAAAAGGATTAAACAACATGAGGGTTGTGTGATATTTTAGATCAACTAATTCACCCAAAGATTTTCTTTTACCAAGATTTACATTATCAAAAAATATCAAATAAATTAAAAAAAAAATGCATCGACAACATAACAACCTGTACAAATAAAAATATTTCAGATATTTAGAAAACAGTGCACATACTTCAACTTTACTGCTCGTCCTGACTGACGTCTGTGGCTCAGCGTCTCCTCAGATGGATCAAAGTTCTTTGGTTTTTTTTTAAAAGTACAAACTGATACTACAGTAGTACTTAAGATGTGACTGAAGAAGAATCCTGAGGAAGTCCAGTACCCAGTAGGAGTTGGAGATAAAAATATGTTTTCTTTTACAAAGTTTATAGTAAAATATTCATAATTTACCTGTAACAAATGTATCAGCAGGCTGAATATCTGCAATTCCATTTTAATTAGATTTATATTTAACTGTTTCTCTAGAAATGCAAACAATAAATATCAATTATTAATTAAAGCCTAAATGATGAACAAATGGTCACAATGGCTGCTGGGATGTGTCCAGTAATGTGTGTACTGTCCAGTACTTTGTGTACTGCTCAGTACTCCGTGTACTGTCTAGTACTGTGTGTACTGGGAGGAGGCTGTGTGTGTTTTTTCACCGTCACTGTGACAGAAATTTGATCAAGAAACATTTCCACCTCTCGGCAGGCGGTCGCGTGAGGATCAACATCTGGTTCTACACCCAGGGGAGTCAGAGAGACCACAGGTCCGTAGTCGAGTGAAGTGGCGTCCGGTCTGTCCCGCGGCCTACACGGGGCTGGGATGAGCAGGGCCCGTGCTGCAGCTCTGAACCGGTTCATAGAAACATTCTTCGTTGACGACCGACGTCAGACTCTGAATGCTGAACTCTCTCCCCAGCACCGCGTTCATGTCCACTGGGCCACAGGGGGCGGCGGCGGCGGCGTCAGTCTGATCGTCCAGTGACCTGCTGTGCTCCTTCATCTTGGACAGTGCAGCCTGGCTCCTCGTACTACCGGGCTTCTTCTTAAGAGCACTTTGGCGTCCTCGTTTCTGTTTGTGCTGTGGCTCGGGAGTGTCACCGCCACCCTCAGGTTGGACACAGGGGGCCAGTGCACACTCTAAAGCAGCGTCATCAGAAAGTTTAAGTTGGAGGAACTGGGCCTCGATGGTGCTGGAGGGGGAGCTGCCGTCTCCGCTGTCCATCTTCGTCCCTCCCTCGATGAAGCCGTCATCGTCCTCGTCGCTCAAAATGTCCGACTCCTTGACCGAGGGGGAGCGAGGCTGGGGGCCGGACACGGGTCTCTCGGTCCAGCTCTCCTGAACAGGGAGGCGGCGGGAGCCGGGGGAGGAGTGGGCGGGGACGGCGCCAGACAAACTGTAGGTTCCGCTGCTCAGGCTTCCTTCGTCAGAGTCTGGCCCCGGTTTCAGACTTCCTGTCTGGGTGGAGAAGTCTACGTGAGGCTGCTTACACAACCAGGAAGCTCTGGAGGAACCTGGAGGTGAGGAAGGGGGGGTGTGGGGTGGGGGAGGAAGGAGTCAACAACTCTGTTCTGAGCAAAGACAGACTGTAGAACCAGCAGCACTGGTCACATGGTACTGTATAGACAGGAAGTACTGTTTGAAGTACTGTTAGTCAGCTGATAAAGTACTGTTAACCCAGTGACCTCTGAGGTCACATTCAAACATGTTTTTGCAGTGAAGCTAACAGCTAACAGCTAACAGCCTGAGAACATGATAACTTTCCGTTACAGAGTAATACAATATGGTGCTCAAAAAATACTTTTTGAAGAAGTACACAGTTGAGTTAAAAAAAAGTACTGCAGAGGAGTCAGAACTACACTCTCTGTGTCTCCTGTGTTGTAGGACACAGTACTAACAGAGAATCACAACCTCTGGACAGCAAACACACACTCAGCAAAAATACTCTCTTAGTAATGAATACACGGCCTTTAAAGGTAATGAAGTATTTTTTTCTCTTAATGCTGAGGTTTAAGAACAGTTCAATTAGAAACAAGTGTCTCCATAAAAATGATTCAGTGACACAGACAGAAACTCCTGCTACTGCTACTGCTGCTGCTACTACTGCTGCTACTACTACTACTGCTGCTGCTGCTACTACTACTGCTGCTGCTGCTACTGCTGCTGCTGCTGCTACTACTGCTGCTACTGCTACTACTGCTGCTGCTACTACTGCTGCTGCTGCTGCTACTGCTGCTGCTGCTGCTACTACTGCTGCTACTGCTACTACTGCTGCTGCTACTACTGCTGCTACTACTACTACTACTACTACTGCTGCTACTACTACTGCTGCTGCTGCTACTGCTGCTGCTGCTGTATGGTTAAACAGACACTGATCACACACAAATAGTTCCTAGTAAATATCCGGTGCTGGTACTGATTCCTCTAGGAATCACTGACCCTCACCCTAATATATGATTATTATTATTATTATTATTATTAATAATAAAAGACAGAAACATCGTGTGACGGACATATATTTCCGACTCACCCAGCCTGGCAGAGGAGGGCAGAGTGCTGTGCAGCGGAGCCAGACGAGCCTTTCTCTCCAGCGTGCCCTCCCTCTTCATGCACCTCCTCACGTTCTCCCTGAGAAGCGAGCGGATCACCTTGATGATGCTGACCTTGCTCTCCGGCACGCTGAGGAGGAAACACGGTAACATGAGGAGAGGGTATCTTTGGAAAAACTGGATTTCTGAGGCTAAATATAAATCAGAGGTGGGAGGGGCAGATGGTGGGGGGAGAGGGCATCGGTGCTGCAGAGCCAGATTCGGTCCCCAGTGTGGAGAGAGATTTAATTCATTAGTAGTGATCCCAATTTCACAGTGGTGTAATGAGAATTGCCAATTTGGTCACAGGCTACGCTCGCCGCTGCTCTCCACACGGAGGCGCTCCATTAAGTTGGAAAACATCGTTAAATGACGCGGTAACGTCAACAGTCGCGTAGTGGTTCCACGTGAAACAAACTGTCAGCTGAGTTTTCACCAGGAAACTATGACGATATGAACCAATATGTCTGACCTGGAAAAATATCTGATGAATCTGAAACAACGTGAAACATTTACGTGTTATTTTAACGCGTTGAAGTGAGAGAAATATGATCGGATTCAGGAGATAATGAAGTAAAATTATTAACTAGGTCGGTTTCTCCACTAATAATAACAATAACATTGTAATTAATTTGCCTTGTTGGCCTCATGAGGGGCCCCGCTCCCTACTTTGGTAACCGTTGGCATAATGAATAATTTCATTACGCGATTTTTTTTTTCCCCCCGACTCTGACTTGACGTGTTTTAAATGTTTAACGACTCAAAATCCTTTCAATCTCATGTCACGTGCGACTTTTTTTGTAGTAATGACTGCAGTAGTACCCATGAATACTGTAATACTGGTCCCACCTGCTGTACAGCTGGAAGACGGTCTCCGGTCTCCCCTTCACCTCACACCTGGAGTGGACCAGCTCCCAGAGGCAGGCGCCCTCCTCGGCGGGCGGTTCCTGAGAGAGAGAGGAGGAAATAAAGGAGTCAGGCGGTCACATGGTTTATGGTTCCTGAAGATGAGGAGGAAAGAGGTGTGTGTGTGTGTGTGACCCAGTGTGAGCTTAAAGGTGTGTGAGCTTTGGTTCTGTGTGTGTGTGTAAAATACGACAGAAGAAGATTTAGTGGATGTACTTTATAAGTGATTTAGTGGTGTGGGGGAGGGGGAGGAGGAGGAGGGGGAGGAGCCTGACCTGCAGCGCGGAGAGCGGGACGAGCCAGCGGAACTTGAAGGTGTCCGAGTCTCCGTGGGACAGCGTTGAACGAGCGTTGGCCTGGACGTCACATAAAAACGTCACATGAGGTGAAAACGCTCGGTGAATTACAACGAGAGAATTTATGAGGCTCCAGAGCCGACGCAGTTCTCACCATTTTCTTCTTCAGCTTGTTCTCCCTGTAGACCAGGATCACTGCTTTCTTAAAAACTGCGGAGAGACAGAACAGACAGTTTCAGTACCGACTGCGATGCCTCCTGGGGACGAGAAGCGACTGAAGGAGCGCGGCCCACAGACGCATTTCAGATGCTAGCTTGAAGCTGTGAAATATGCAGCCGCTCCGTCGCTCTGATATTGAAATGGAGCGAGATGTGTTTGAACACTTCCGCAGGCAGTTTAACGGCGCGCGGCAACAAAACCAATAAAGTGTGACGCTTAAAGTGATTAGACATCAAACTGTCGACATCGCAGGCCGACGTCAGGACGTTCGTTGTGCGTCGAGACGAAGATGACAGCGAGAGAGAGGGAGAGAGCAGAGATTTTTGCTTTCGACTTTGACAAATACGCAACAATAACAATGCCACAGCGTCCAGACTCACCAAACACAGTCATTTCTGGTTCTTTTCTCATGCGACCCAGTGACGGATGTGGATTGAGCCAGACCACGGAGGAATGCATGAGAAATTCACCCATGGAGATCTCTGTGACCTGAGAGGGAGAACACACACAGAGGAGATGGATGAGAAAACGAAGAGACGGGAAAATAAGCAGCCAAACGTCCACAGTGAGAAGACACAGTACTGTAGACAACATTATTTCACATTCACTTTGAATATTTATACTGCAGTACTTTTCCCGGCTTAATATTCTATCAATTTGTTAATGTATTCAGTCCCTGTAGGATGGTGTGTGTGTGTGGGCGGGGGTGTGGGGGGGGGGTTAAGGTTATAGACGTGAACCCACCTCCTTCTCTGGTCCGGTCTGCTCCGTCACCAGCAGGTCAAACACGGAGCCGTAATCTTCGTAGATCTTCTGCATCTCATTGATGTGACTGGCCACCTTCTCCATGGCCTTCAGAGCCTCTGTGGAGACAAAGACAAGGACAAGGACGAAGGAGTCCAGGGGGAGGAGGGGGAAGAGAGAGGGGGGGGGGTTAAAGGTGAATTAATTTATTCTTTTATCATAGCTGCAAATTCTACTGCACCTAGAGCTGTAAGGAAATATCCATACACTGAAATATCGGGATATCTCCTTTCCTGATCCCGTATCAATCTCCATCATCAGTGATTGATTTTTTTAATCACCAATTCCTCAATAATAATAAAAAAAACCTCAATATATCGTCGTGTCTATAGTATCGCGATCTATCGTATCGCTGCTCTGTCTATGTCAGGATTTCTTTCTCGCCCACATGGTGTCACCTCCGTTGCATCTTAATGTGTGGATCAGCATTAATGCCTGAGCACACTGGTGGTGTGTACAGATGTGTGTTTGTGTGTGTATGTGTGTGTTCTTCTCTGCCTACCAGTGAGGTGGTAGTGCTCTTCACTCTCAGCGTCAGTGAGAGACACCAGCTCCCTGAGCAGCAGCGGGTATTTGAGGACCCTCTGAACCGGTTTGATCAGGTACGACTCCAGGGTGGAGGAGTGCTGCTTGGTGGGGTTCTTGGCGTCAAGGAACTCCTTAAAAGCCTGGTCTGTCTTTGCTGTAAAAGAAAAAAAAAGAAATTAAAAATTAATATGAATACTTCAGCAGCCAGTACAGCGTTCTATGTAGTATAATTAATTATATCAAAATATCCCATACATCTGGCCACAAGAGGGCATCATCAGCACT